TCTGCCTGGAGCCCTCACTTGTGCCTTGCAGGGTAGTGACAGCAACTGCTTCCTGCTTCCATTGGACACACCTCAGGTGTGGTTTTCTCTCATTTCCCTTGAGTGTAGCCTTCTCCCCTCCAGCTCAGAGCTAGTGGGGTCGAGGGCAGCAGTACAGGGAGAAGAGCTAGTTCACGGCCAGTGAACAGCAGTGAGGAACAGGAAGAGAGGGACGATGAAATGAGCACATGTGCCTCCTCGCTCAGCATCACTGTGTCCATAATGTGCTTTTTTGTATTGAATACCCTTCTTGGAAAGGTGGTATGAAGAAATTAAGTCAAGTTTGTAAGTGACGTGTCTTCAGTGCCCCCCCGCACCCCCCCCCCCCCCGTTTCTCTTCTTATGCCTTTTAGCACCTGTCCTCTCCCTGGCATTGCTAAACTATCGAGAGGCCTCCAATAGGTGGAAGGCAGAATCTGCTCAGACCTGGACTGGTGTCTGTTTCCCTTCCAGTATGATACGCATCTCAAGACACTCCCAAGAGGAGAAATTGTACATCTGAAAGGTAGAATTCATGCCTTGTTCAACTTTGGGTCCTGGAGCAAAGGAAATGACGATAAATGTTGAAATGAAAATGTTCACTGGCAGAATTCCCAACCTGTGAGGCTAAGTTAGGTTCATATTCGAGTAGGTTTCTCTTTGAGATCATGCAGGACTTCCGGGGTCCTTCAGGTCTTAGATGAGACCCACCTCTTACAGGACTAGCATTTAAAAGTGTTTCAGAAGTATAAAAAGCCCTACAAATGACTGATGGTGGCATGCAGGAAGGGAAAACCCCTTAATACCGTCTGAGAACACGCCAGCGGTAACTTCACAGTTCTGGGTTCTTAAAATTAGGATCAACATCTCCATCACCAAGGAAGCCTCCTCAGGGCATTCCACTAAGACTCATCAAGCAGCCACATGCCAGGCACTGTGTCCCTAAGAGATGCAGCCATGACAGAGACAGACACAGTCCCTACCACCGTGGGGCTTCGATGCTGGGGGGATGGAGGCGTCAAGTACGTTCATGATCCGTTATTTAATTCAACAGCAATACGCCCCATGACCAAGAAGAGAGTGCTGGGCTCACCAGGTGAGTGCACGGTGGGGCGGGCTTTGAGTACATGACCCTGGAGTGGATCGCCTGAAGACAGGGTAGGAATTAACCAGGCACAGATGAAGGAAGAGTGGTTCAGGGAGGGAGGGGCATCTGCACCAGCTGGAGGGAGCTTGGGGAGTTGGGAGAAATAAGTGCCCCTGGCTGGTGTGCAGACAGGAGCGTGAAGTGCATGTAGGGGAAGCAAGCCATTCTGTCCAGGGGTGACCAGTGAAGAACAAGAGTGGATACGTCATTGATTCTCATTTGCCTTCCCTCCCGCCCCACTCCTAATAATCTGATTGATGTCTGACCGGCCACCTCTGTTGTTTAAGGCTTTTCTTCCTCTGTCCTCCTTTTGCCTCTAGGTTATTAGGCCCCTGCAAGTTCTTTGGGAGCTGGTCAGGATTTCAAGCTAAAGATGGTGATGATGAGCCGCCTGAGGGCTATTCTTCAGGCCTCCCCATGCAAGTCACTGTGGAGAGGGATCCAGATTCCGAGGTCCATGCCGGTGAGGCCCTGCAGCCTCTACACCTGCACTTACAAAACCCGGAACCGAGCCTGTGAGTACGTGGCTGCCTTGGGAGAGGGGAAGGCTGGTTGTTTCCCACCGAGTCACGTGTGTTGGGTGTTGGCAGCGCTGGTGTCGGTGGCATTCCAGACTGGGATCAGATGCCTCGAGAACTGAGAATAACTCATTATTTCTCTATTTGTCTTCTAAAACAAACTTGGAAAGCTCTTTCTTTTCCTAGCTTCATTGAGACATAACTGACATATGACATTGTGTAAGTCTAAGATGGACATCGTGATGATTTGATGCACACGCACTGCAAAATAATGACTACAGTAAGGCTTGGAAAGTCCTTTCCTTGACCGGTTTTAACTTGTTAAAGGGATGTCATGCAGAATTCGGCCAAGGGAGATGTCCCAGTTTCAAACACTTTGGAACCCGTTCTTTATCGTTTCTCGTTAGCAACTGTCTTGTAACTAAGGTTGATGCACAGACTGCGAATTATTTCTGTGAATCTGAACATTCTGGAAGTTGCATGTGATTGTTCGCAAGCAGTTCAGCAGCTTCACACTCTGGAATATTCCATTCCTTATTACAAACTGCAGCAGAGTGACTTCCATCTGACCAGCTTGCCGAGTGTGTGATCTGCTGTGTTTACAGCAGATCAAGAGAGGCAGCAGATGGTCTTCCCTGAAACCGCGGTGCTGCTGCCACGGGGGTGGGTCATTCTGTGCTGTCGGGGGCTGTGCTGTGCACCGTGCATGTTGCGTGGCATCCCTAAATGTCTCAAGACCTCCCTCAGTGTCCCCTGGGGGAAAAATAACCCTGGTGCAGAGCCACTGAGATGGCAGGGGAGGATAATGTGTGTGTTGGTGGAGACATGAGTTTAATGAAACGGTTAAGTATATTTCGTAGTTAGTTATTTTATATATGTTCCACCATTCACAGTGAATTCGCAGTTTCCAAATGTTGGTTTGCTTCAGGATTCTAGGTTTTCAGCTTTTCCTCCCTGGGTTTCCTCTCTTTGACCCTATTTGCGCATGAAAAGGAATTATTAGTAATGCTAATCTAGCTAAATCCATTGTCTTGAAACTGCTTCATAAATATATTTTTTGTAAATTTATTTTGTTTTCTCCAGTATTGACTGTGTTTTTATTAAACTGAACTGGCCTGAGTCATAATAAATTTCTGGTTGCTGGGTGTGGCTTCCTACCAGCAGGCCCACATCCTACCCGGACTGGCTGCTTCTCAACACGGGCACTTTGCGGTCTAAGGCTTTTAGAATGGAAAAAAATAGTCATATTTATTTAGTTACTAGCAGAAAGGTTTTTTTTAACAGAAAGTTGAAAGTTAAGGGTCTAAAATCCAATATGCTCATGTCTTTAGAATAGTTTGCTCCTTTTGGTGCTGACGAAATCAACAAGTGGTAGCAGCTTAGGGAAGAGGGGCTTCCCTCGATTAATTTCCCACATCAGATGTTCTTGTTTGCAGGTTACTAAGACAGACAGGTGACAGTCACGATTTGATTTTGGTCTTGGCGCTTACACTGTCCCTCCCTGTTTCACCCAGGAGAATATTTGGTGTGTGCTGCCCTGGGCCCCTGAGCATGTCCTGTTTAGATATCCTGGTTCCTCATCTGTTTAGCTGTAAAGACAATCCTCATTGTTTCTGGAAGCCCAGGAAGCCCAGCAGAAGGCCCAGTGTATACTTGTGACCAAGAATGTCCCCAGGTTGTTGAGGGTCAGAAAAGATAATGTGGAAAGTCCTTAGCTAGTGGCTGCCACACAGTGGGGACTCAGCATTGGCAGCTACCTCTAGTACCACAGCCCTTAACCGTCATCACCATCTTTACCATCGGCATACGCTCAGCTCCTCCCTCAGATGTCTGACCATTTTTAGGATCGGGTGAAGCACAGTAAGGAATGACTGAAGGAGGAGGTGATGGCGAATTCAGAAGCGGCGTTTCCCTGGGGCCCGTGCCCTGTGCCTGACCTGCACTCCCCACCACCCGGGTAATCACTGCTGCCACGTCAAAGTGCTGTTTGCTGTGATGTCAAAGTGCAGACAGTAAACGTTGACAGTCCTAACTTTGGGGACTGGTAATATGATAAAATAAAGATAAAAGCCTGCACCTGTTACCCAAGATGGAAAGAAAATCAGTCTCACTTCATGTATCACCTAGTGGAATTTAGCCTAATTTTTGTCACATAAAAAAATGTAGGTTAGAGTAAATCAGAAAATAAAACCCAACAGTCAATAATAAGAAAATCCAGTTTAAAAAATGTGTCAACAGACCCATTTATTTCCTAACAGACACATCACGTAAGAAGCTATATAGATGGCAAACAAGCATGCGAAAAGATGCTCCACATCATATGTCATCAGTGAAATGCAAGTTAAATAACCACAGGACACCACTACACACCTATTAGAGTGGCCAAAATTCAGAACACTGACAATACCAAATGCTGACCAGGAAGTGCAGCAACAGAAACACTCATTCACTGCTGGCAGTAATGTAAAAGGTACAGCCACTTTGGAAGATAGTTTGGCAGTTTCTTTCAACATTAGTATACTCTTACCATACAATCCAGAATCAATTACCCCTTGGTATTCATCCAAAGTTGTTGAAAACTATGTCCACACAAAAAACTGCACACAGATATTTATAGCAACTGTATTCATAACTGCCAAAATTGGAAGCACCCAAGATATCCTTCAGTACATGAATGGATACATAAACTGTGGTACATCCAGACAACAGAATATTATTCAGCACTAAAAAGAAATGAGCTATCAAACCATGAAAAAACATGGAGACACCTTAAATGCATACTGCTACATGAAAGAAGCCATTATGAGAAGACTACCTACTGTATGATTCCAACTCTGACATTCTGGGAAAGCAAAACTCTGGAGACTATGAGAACTATGGAGTAAAAAGATCAATGATTGCTAAGGGTTGGCAGAGGGAGGGATGAGTAGGTAGAGCACAGAGTATCTTTAGGGCAGTGAAAATATTTTGTATGATACTATAATGAAGGATACATGTCATAATACGTTTGTCTAAACCCACAGAATGTAAAACATGAAGGGTGAACCACAACGGAAATAATGGACTTTTGGGGATTCTGATGTGTCCAGTGTAGGTTTGTCAATTATAATAAAAGTACCACCTTGATGGGAGATGTTGATAATAGGGGAGGCTATGCATGTGTCGGGGCCAGCAGTATATAGGAAATCACTGAACCTTAAAAAAATTAATAAAGTCTTTTAAAAATTAAGCATGAGATCCTAGGCCATAAGATAATAAATTTAATGATGTTAATTCTTAATTTAATGAAATATAAGGAGTATCATCTAGAATGGAAATGGCACATATTTGTTGTCATTATTCCAGTGATTCATTTTGTTCATGATGTCTAATTTTAGAAGAAAGAAAACCATTTTTTTTAGTTTAAGTTGGAATACAATGGTACTGTATAAAATGTAGGCACTAGACCCACATGGGTATTTACGAGTAAATAAAAATTCATTAAAATTTTATGGCCACAAGTGCCTAGCATTTACCATACTGGCCACTTTCATTAACAGAGAAAATTGTATTTGACAGCACTGATCTATATAATAACTGAACTGTGTTAGAAAGTTGTTCAGTTATTTCTTCAATTAATTTTGAAGGATACAAAACCTGAAAAACAAGAGTATTACACAGCATGTTTTGCAGTATCTTCACAAAGAACTTTGATAATCCCCAGATAATCTAGACTCATGATGCACCAGATTGAGTCTTTCATTAATAGTCAAATAACCTTGAGAAACAATGGACCAATGAAGAGCCCTTTGAAATTAATTAACGGCCTCAAGGGTATCTGCAGCTACAAGAAACTAATAGCTCTGAACTGACCACCAGGAAACGTGGTCACTCCTGCTTGTAAGTGCATGTGATGCTGTGGTTATCTGGGCTCAGCATTAAAGTGCCTTTTACAGCCCTGATGCTCTAACAAGGCAATTAGGGATGCTGTGACCATCCTCAACAAAGTCACATGGAGGGTCTTTACGTATCTGATACCAAGCAGGACCCTGTGGCCGCCACCCCCAACCCCTGCCTCTTGTTTGTAGAAAAGCTGAAGTCTCCCAAGCCTCCCTGAGTCATGGAAGAGCAGCTCAAGCAGTTGATTAGGACAAGCCTGTAGGCACTGGGGGATGGCAACAACTCTGACCACCTATCTCAACCATTAACTGAGATTAATCCTTCATTTCCCTTTAAAATTTTCATGGCTGAACAGAATCTTTGGAGATGGGTTTTTGAGGGGAATGCTGGGTCCACCAGATTGCAGGCAGTCTGATGAAAAGCAACCCTCCTTTTTGTTACCAAGGCTGTTGCCCCAAGGATCCTACCCCTAGCCCCTTCCTCAAATAGAAACCAATTACTCTTATCTAAGCCTCTGGAGGCAGCTGCAGAGAAGAACAAGACCTGGTTAGAACCAAGGGAGCCCAAGATGGTGGAGGATTTGACGTTTAGTTGAACTTGAGGCTCATTATACACTCACTGTAATGTATTGGCATGATAAATGACATGCCCCCCAGCAACATGACAGTTGATGACTGCCATGACAACAACCGGAAAATCCCATACCAGGACTGATTGGCTCCATCACACCCAGAAGGAGGACAAGATGGTAGAAGCCTCTTATAAAAGTCCACGTGGCCAGACCTGGGCTGGAGCCGTCTCTACTGCCCATCTTGGCTGACGCTTCCCACTTGAACGCCTTTTCCTCATTCAGGTGCTTTTCTTTCCTTCCCCCTGCTCAAGCACTTTCCTTCCATTTCCCCTTCTGAGCAATAAAGCAGCGGTTCACTTCGTCTCTCTGCCTCTACTGTGCGAATTCTTTCGCAGCCAGTGGCAAGAATCTGCACTTTGGTGGGTGTCCTAATTTAGGAGTCTCTCTATCTGCTAACATATCCATCACTGTACTAAGCCCTAAGCCTGCTAGGATGGTCCTTAATTCAATGTGGAAATAGCACATCTCAAGAAAAAGGACAGTACAG